CGGGGAGGTGGGTCAGACCAAGAAATGGGCCTAAAATTCAGTGTTTACCTTGGCTCATGGGCATCCAATGGTGCCCAGTGCCTTTTGTTTTTGAATGAAGAATGCGTTATACAGTGGAAGAGTTACAGTGAAGTGCTAACCAGAGGTCCGGGGAGTGAGTTGAAAGAGATGGAGTAAGTGTATTTGCAGCCAAAGCACTGCAGGGTAAATTTCAGGGCATGGGGGCAGTCCTGCCCTCTGAGCACTTAAAGAGGGCATATTTGTCCCTGTGGGAGCCCCATGGAAGCCTCCTACTCACCCACCAGGGACAGGGCATTTGGCAACAGTCTGACATCCTCATCACCCATTGTGAAATCCCTGCCCCCACTACTCCCTGACAGCTGGACCAGGCCCAGACTCTGGGGACAGTTCTCTGTTCCTCAGGAGAAGCTGTTGCCATCAGTCACCTTCTCTTGCATGTCTAATGTTGATATCCACATTCACCATCCAACCCCATGAAGGATCTTAGCCTAAGGATTTGACCAAATGTGCTGAGAGGCAGGGAAATCCATACCCTAAAATTAACCAGGTCTGCAGACCACTGGAGATGGAATATGACCCCACAGGAACTGTTTCCGTGGTTTGTCCATCCAGCTGGTAGCCACTGTCGCATATGTGCAGAGGCAGTCCCTCTGTACAACCATCTCCACTTCACCCTGCTCGTTCTGTTATGTGGTCAGCCAGAACCACTGTTGGCCCAACCAGGTGCTGTGAGAATTAAGTGCTCAGAGGGTCTAGTAGCCCAGGGGATAAGAAGGCTTGTGGTCTTAGTAGATTCAAAAGGGACAATCGCTTGCAGTTAGTAGATCTAGTGATCTAGTTGGAAGATAATGATGTTTACCCCATATGAAGTATTCAATAGTTCTACTTGTGAATTTGTATTTATTTTGAGTTATACTTGACACAGGATTCCTTTTTTTAAATACTACGTGTGTATTTTAGGGGGAGGGGGAATCATAGATGTTAAAATTTCTGCATGATTACCAATTTTTCTCACAACACTGAATTTGTTAGCTTCTCAAAAAAACAACAACCTTCACCTTGATTTTTTCTGTATATATTTGAGAGCCTTTAAAAGAAAAAGAAAAGGAAAATATAATTTCTAGATTTTTTTTAGATAAAACAGAAAGAGAAGCATTTTCAAGACTTCAGAGCCTGTGGGAGGGCAATAGAATACCCCACAAAGATTTCTGGAAGTGTTTTGCAAACCTTCTGGTTTAGCTATAAAACATATTTATGGTAAGAACATTGTTCTTTTTCCTGTTATTGTTTTGCTTTTTGTTTTTACTATGTTTCATTCTGTAAAAAGTATGAAACTGAACTACATTAAGGAGGAAATATTGTCTGCATAGAATATTATATGAAGTTGGTACATAATTCTGATGAGGGCATAAAAACCCTGTCAATTCTCTAAGCCATATTGTTTTTATTGTGTTTTTTTCTGTGAATGAAAATACCAATACTAATTCACCAGCCTATTATTCAAGTGCGTAGACTTATTAAGATGTTCCTGTCATGTATTTACATGTATGTGCATTTGGAAAGTTTTGCATGTTTTTAAAGGGACACTATTATTAGGTGTGTAGTGAAAAGGGGTCTGCTGAGCCTCTTCATGCCTCTTCACTTTTTGCCCAGGGCCGGAATCGAGGATAACAAATTATAATCCATCCTCTCACCTTCTTGTTATCACTATCTTGTTATGATGTTTATGAATTTTGTAGGGGGATGGGAGTGGACCAGAGAAAGAAGGGGCATATGACTAACCAGGATTCGATGGTCTGCCAGCTCCAAAGATGTCCTCCTTGGCCTGGAGGAGGGGTGGCCCATCAGCAGGATGCAGGGTGAGACAGGAGACAGGAAGTGGACTTGTCCAGAGCCCTCTTTGGAGCTTTGCCGTCTGAACCATGTCCTGGTATATCCTTCATTTTAAACTTGGATTTGCAAACCAGCACCCTTGTGCCTGCCCTCCAACACCTAATAGACTTGAACCTATTCTAATTAATATCTGATCCCAAATTGCTACATCACCGCCCTGTACACAATTAACCCTGAGGTCCAGGAGGTGTTCCAGCCTTCAGAGAGACCCCCAGCAGTCCTCTGAGCTGGCAACTGAAGCCGAGAAGGGGCCAGTGCCATCCGATGCCAACCTCTGGTTCCACCAGCACTGGCCGCTCCTCCCTTCCTAGGCAGCGGCCCTGTCCCATGTCTTTGTCAGTTAGTATGTGTGTGTCCAGCTAAAAGACAAACAGCCCAGAGGCCCAGCTCGGAGGAACTGTGGAGAAGGTTCTGGTCTTCTCCGAGTGCTGCCCTTGGCATGGCATTCCGTTGTGTGCCTTATTCCTGGAGAACCTGTGTATGACTTACCTTTTTGTGCTGTATTAAAGGGACTTTTCAAAACAAGCAAGGCTCTTGAGTTTCCTTGTTTTCACAAAGCATTGATGAGCGAGAACCCTCAAATGCAGTGAGAAACAAGTCCTGCAGGGAGGGATTGCACCTGCCATTCCCTTACCTAACCAGATTATATTGTCTTTTCTGCCTCCCACCTCTATGTTTGCTTTCCTAGCCTGTTGGTCCTGGGTGGGCACTTTCCTAAACTGCTCTGTAAATGAAGTGGGACTGCAAATTAGTGCAGCAATGGGACTTCCATCTACCATGCATTTGGAGACAGTGGTCTTGGGCCTCCCTGTTCTGCCTGCGCTTGACCCTCAGCAGAGACGAAAATGTGCGCTTCCAGATCCCACGCATCACAGTTAGAAAATCCAAATGCTTATGGCCTCTACAGATGCCCTGGGAAAGGGAATCAGGAGCCCCTCTTCTGAGCAGGGCAGGACTGGGCATGGTTCATCCTGAAGTGGGCCTTCTACACAGAGGAGGTCTGAATTCACCAGGGTAGGGAGCCACAGGGAAGACAACCCACCAGAAGCCTGAATGTTCTCATCATTGTCAACCCTGACTGCCCACTGCAGCTCCACAGGTATTAAGAATACTTCAGCCTGGTCCTACTTCACGAAACATTGGTCTGGACTATGTGCTCGGGTTGTTTAAGGCCTCCTGGGTTAGTCCAATGTTCAGTCCTGCTTGAGAAGTGCGAGGCTTTGAAATGGTCCGTCATGGTCAGATGGTAGTGACAGTAAGGGGCCTGGAGCCCTTTTCCCAGCAGTCTTGAAAGGCACCCAGTCCTGGGACCCAGCCAGTTGTTGCTGACAAAAATATACTGTCAAGATTGTGGAGATGCAACTTTTAAAAATTAATTTATTTTTGTACATTGCCTTTAAGGACCATCCTTTATTGAACTATTTTGCTTATTTTGAATGATAGTAGTATTATGAAAAAATAACTTTATTCACCAATGTCTATTTTTTTTAAATCATTTTATTGGAGGCTCGTACAACTCTT